GCTCCCGTGAGTCGGACTCGCGCACGAGAGGATGCGAGCATGCGAGAGATTAAAACGAAAAACTTCTCCTCCCCGCCCCTCCACCCCCCCTTTTTCCCTTCCCTGAAAGAGAGCGTCGCGCTCTCCGGCTGTGAGATGCTTAGGGCTCCCTGCGCGGCGGGTTCAACGGGTGCCCCTTTCTCGCCCGCGAGGGAAGGTGTGTGCCAACAATCGTCGATACACGCGTTATATATACGTGTATATGAATTTCGGTGAACGCCGCCGTTAATTTACTTGTTGCTCCTCCCCGTCGGCACCGTATGAAGAAACGGTTCCTTAATCACATGCCGTACTCGTGGACCGTAACTTCCGTGTGTAGGTATATGCCAGAAATAAACGGGAGATTCTGAATTTCACACCTCGACACATTCCCGGACCAAATGGCCATTCAGGCGCGCCTGTGCGATTTCTTTTGAAATCCGTTCGTTCCGCGGAAACCAGTATCAGTATATCGCACGCTGACACGGTACTTTCCTTTTTTTTTTCACAACTACACTAATTATATAACTATATAATTTTAGTGAGTCTTTGCAAACAAATTTTTTCGTTGAATAAGACAAAATCGTTGATGGACGCCTTTTGAGAGGCGTGAAGTGCGAAATTATTATTTAAACGATCATACACTGGAGATAACATTCCAATGCGGCTCAAACGCTGAAAAAAGTTTGGCTATCAAATGTAAAGAGCGTATTGATGTATTAATTAGTGAATATTTTACTAAACAATAATAATAATCAACCATTTGGTAGTAATTATAAATATTAATATTACCATTAGTTAATAATAATACTATAAAAATAGCAATATTATAAATATTAATATTATTAATATTTAGAAAAATAAAATTAGCGTTTAATTAATTTGGTTATATGTATTAACCGAACTTTAAACTTTTAAAATTATCTCACCAAAGCTTTAGTGACTATCTAGGTTTAATTATTATTTCCAGACTTTTTTCAGTGTAGTAATCCGAATATCTTTCAGAAAAATGTCATGTATAAAGTTATATTGAAAAATATACGATAACACGAATAGTATACGATTGTTCACGTTGTGTGGAAACATCATTCCAAAATTTATGCAAATTCGATTATAAGTGAGTGCTGTCTGTCATGCAAAATGGCTATTTCAATGTTTTACGGTTTGAACTACTTCCAGCATCGATCCTAGATTCTAATGTTCTGCATGAATTGTAACGTTATATCCATCACTTAGGCATTTGCGGCAGGTCATTAACGTGCAGGATTTTACTCTCGATCGAACCGTTCCTCCGGAGTAACGAATGGATTCGTCTGGTTGCGAATCTGGTTTTGTTCGCTTCTTAATTACCCATGCGTGAAGCGAGTGGATATCAAATTGTCATGGTAACGAGCGCAAAAAGTGATGACAATGTAGGATAGTTTTGCGGTTTTTTTTCTTTCGAAAATTGTGAAAGAAATGGAGATTGCTACAAAAGAGAGGCATGACCCATTATATAAAAAAAAAATTACGTGAATTGCTTCCATCATTTTCTTATATCAATATCCTGAATAAAAAAAATATGTAGCACGTCGTAATCTAATATATAGATCTGGTCAGAATTGTTTAGAAAATATAGTCATTGAAAATTATATGTATTCATTCCAATGAATAGATCGCGTGACCATCAGCTCATTCAAATTGCCTTGAAAACTAATTCGTCGTGATAGTTTCGTCCTTGCTATTTCTTTAATCCTAAGTAAGCAACGAGCGCGCGCGCGCGCACTTAGAATAACACGTCAAATAACACTCAGCATCCCCACTCGAGAGCATCGCTCATAATTCCGATCGCGCGCGGTACACACACACACACACATTCTCTCTCTTTCTCTCTTGGTACATCCTCAAAAGTGTAATACCAACCTTGAAGGCAGCCCAGCAGGACGATCCCGAGGACGAGCGAGAGCTGTCGACGCATCTCTTCCGATACTCTACTCTTCACGACGTTGTCCGACTGTGACTTCACAAAATGATATCTTCGCACGGGCGACGAATTCCCTCCTGGAATCGCTCGGGCCGGATGATTATCCTATTTCGCTCAGGGGGGGGGGGCCCTCGTTCACTGAGGTCTTCTCTTGCGGGAAGTAAAAGAGCGAAGACGGTGACGAGGAAGAGGAGGAAAGAGTAAGGAGACCGAGAGGAGAAGAAGGCTCGGTGCCGAAAGAGAGATCCCGCGAGGCTGCAGGAGGAGAGGAGAGAGAAAGTGCCCTCTTCGACCTCTATCGTCCTTCGAGGTCCACGAACGACTGAGGCGCACGAAGCGACGTCGGTCCGGCTATAGCCTCCCCTTCCTACTTTCACGTGGCGTGCTCCCGTTTCCAGCGGAGGCGCGGAATAGAGAGCCTTCTCCATGGGCCATTTACCATTACCATCATCGTCGACGGCGACCGTCAAAAGGAGAGGAGGGCTACCGCCCGGCTGCCCCTTTCCCTCCTACCCCCTCCCGCCCCCTCCCGTCCCCCTCATCGCGCTCATCCGAGAGGGGTGGGGAAGAAACGTACCCCACCGGCCCCCTTCCCCTCTGCCCCTCTCACTGCTCCCTGCCCCCCCCCCGTCTTCCTTCTTCCTCACGTCACTTCTGGACGTGAACCGCGGAACGCATCGCCGGGGAGCACCGGACTCGGCCGTTTCTAGGCCAGCTCTTCCTCCTCCATCCTTACATTCTGAACCACCGTCCTGAGACGTCCTTCTTCTGCTCTTCTTGTCGCACTTCTTCGACCACTTCTTCATCTTCCTCGATCAATTTCTTCGGCAGTTTCCGCCGTCGTCGCCCATGCGAGAGGATCTCGTCCCTTCTCGCGCGGCTAGTGAGATTAGAGGCCAAGAATACGTTGTCGCTCGTGGAGTCCTGACACGGATGATAATGAGGATTCGAGGTACGAAGAGATGGGTGAGAGCTGGAGACAGAAGTCTTCGGGGAGGACACTTGAGTACCCCCTCATATCTGCGCTTTTGTGGACCGAAAAGATGATCAGCGAAAAAATCGGAGAACTTAAATATTTGTCGATCACACACACACACACACACGTATATATACGCAACGCAGCGACGATACTCTCTGTGTGTCACATCTTCGTCACGTCCGACTTTCGGGATCGGCGCGGCGCGGCGGCGCGCTCGCGTTCACGTCGCATGCCTGTCGCACGGGCATTAGGGACTGATAAGAAGCCCCCCCGAGTCGCGCGAGAGCGCGCACCCGAGAAAGCCGCGCCGCGATAACAAAACGGCGGAGTAGGTCGAGACGGCGAGAGACGTGCGAAGACCGAGTGAACGTGGATTATAGGCGTCCAGGCCTGGAGCGCCTGATTAATTGAAAGTATACGGGCAATTTTCATGATCTCCCCGGAGATGAGGAAGAGGAGGGAGAAGCCCCGCTCTTATTCCTCCCGGCCGATGCAAGGGTCCCACCGCGCGCGCGCGCGCGCGCGCACGATTAGTGGCTACACTTTCTAATTGAAATGTCGCAAGAAGCGTCCGAAGGATGTTCTTGCTAACGATAGCGACATTAGTCTCCTTTCCTACTTACATTCTGAGCCGCCAGCGTTTCACGCGCGTGACGAATCCGCCGCGAATCCGACGAACCGCGCCGCGCGATTGACATGTATTTCTCTGCCTTTTTGCCGTCTCTCACTCCCGGGAGAAATTCCGGAAAGAATTACAGCTATAGAGGTAGCTAGATTTTGCGTTTTTCGCGCTGGAATAGATAGAAATTTAATGGCGTGATATTAAACCTTTTGGGATTTAAACTTTATTGGTATATTCACACGGTATGTCTCACAGACATTTTTTCAAAAGGCGTTGTTGAAAAATTGTTCGTAACAAATGTTTTCGCAACCTTACACAATTTTAACTCACATAATCTTGTTCCGCGGATTTCGATTTTCAAAATAAAAAAAACTCTTTCGGTTACTTTGTAAGTAAAGATATATTAAAGTTTTGTGGGGCTCTCCGAATACTTAAGGAAATTTCAATTTAACTTAATTTATTATATTTCGAAACGCGAATATCAATTATATAATGTTGGAAGAAACATTGTAAAATCGTTTCCAAATCCTTGTCTCGCGCATCGCAAATAATTCTGTATGTTTTAACGTACAAATAAATATAAGTCAAAGCTATATTAATAGTAACTCAGACAACGTAAAGTCCAAAATCGGGACATAAGACGTCTGTTTTTTTTTCGCAAAAATGCAGTCTTTAAGACGTTTTTTAGATTTCGGACTTCATGTTGTTTGGGTAACTTTATATTGTACTTTTTGGACATTTTCGAACGATGCTTAATTAGGATCGACGCGCGACGGCAGCATAAAAAAAATACACTTTTCTCGACGAAAATCGCTCTCGTTGCTCCCGTTAAAAAACTCCTCGTCTTATAATACGATCGAAGGAGGGCTAAAAACGCGCGCGATCGTTCCGCACGAAAGTATGGCAGTGGCCCGCGGGAGGACGATGTTCGCATGCAGATGTGTGTGTGTGTGTGTGTGTGTGTGTGTGTGTGTGTGTGTGTGTGTGTGTGTGTGTGTGTGTGTGTGTGTGTGTGTGTGTGTGTGTGTGTGTGTGTGTGTGTGTGTGTGTGTGTGTGTGTGTGTGTGTGTGTGTGTGTATGTGTGTGTGTGTGTGTGTGTGTCGTGTGTGTGTCGTGTGTGTGTGTGTGTGTGTGTGTGTGTGTGTGTCGTGTGTGC